GGTAAATCTCTCTCTCATTTTTTTTTTTAATCAGAGGAGGAGGGTTTGATCAAATCTGTTGGCATAGTCTCACGTTCAACTACTCTGCTCTAAGCAAAACAATGGGTCCTAGCCCTAGTGGGTGCAATATTTATGCACGTTGCCACAAGAACCACACAAAGGATCTGTGCAGTCCTCAGTGTGAGCATGCGTCCTGCAGCAATGATCCTCACCAGGTCATCAGAGAGCCCTGAGCTTGTGGAGCTGCCCACAGCAACTGCTCAGAGACCCAACCACACCTTGCGCCTTCCCATGCAGCCACAGTGTTTTCACAGTCCCAGCACACAAGGCTCCCACACTCACAAGCACCTAGCCCCCTGTCAATCCTCCCAGCCAGACTCTGGCATTCTCCTCTCAGCTGGTTGTTGTCCTTGTAGACACAAGCTGGCACAGCTGTTAACGTATGTCCAAAATGGTGCCCACCCTCTCTAAGCTAGTTACAGGACTTTAGTGCTGGGTGGTCAGAGAGAGAGAAATGAGCCCCCCTTTTCTTTTTCTTTTTCCTCTAGGCTGGCGGGTACACCATCTCCCAGTGGGCTCCAAGACGAGCTCACAACAGGCTCTTCCCACAGCTTTATTGCCAGTGGTTTGGGCTGCTACAGTCTGGTCTCACCTCACTTTCCTGGTGCTGAGGCTCTTGGCTGCTGGGATCCTGAGTGGTGGGTGTCCACACCCTCCATGTAGATACACGGTGTCCCTCTAATTTGTGTGGAGTTTCCCATGCAGTTTCCTCCCCAACTCTTGTACTCTCTCCACTTTTTTAAACTATCATCCCCTAGACTAGAGCAGTTAGCTCCATCCCTAGTCTGCCATCTTATTATCTCTGAGTATTAATTCTTACAGGGACAATTTCAAAAATATGGAATTGGATCATCTATTCCCTGCTGATTTTAAAAAAAAAACAAACAGTATATTTTGTTGCTATTTATATTTTAGAGGCTGTTTTCTTTGATGAGGGCACATAACTGATAGAAAAAGGCATGTTTTAACCAGTTGTCTTTGTTTTGGTATTAACTAACAAGATTCATTTATGATTCTGACTCCTGAAATAAAAGCCCCACTTATTATCTTTTTTTAATTTTTGTAGAAACAAAATGAAACGATACTTATGGAATCAAAGATTTCCTCTGTGATCTCTAGGGAACCCAAAACTCTTTTCTTTTTGACTATATAAAATATTTTCATCCTAAAAAGGCTCTGAAAATGTTTTGTTACATGAAAATTATGTAACCACTTTCATTTTTGGATTTGTTTTCCTAATGACTCTACTTGAGCATTTATTTACTATTTGAATTAAAATTATCTTAAAGCACCTCTAGTTCCAAATCAGTGGTCCCCATATCAGTGAGGCTTTGCCTTATAGTTAACTCATGGAGGCAGAAGAGATTCTGAGAGAACAGTTTCCAGAAGCCCCTCACCTGTTTATTTCATGGATGGTAGTGTGTCACATCAAGCTGTTTTGCCTTCCAGGAGTGGAATCCATGAAAAAGATGGCCCTAGGAATCTCCAGTGTAAACATCCAGCATTCTTTAATGATGTATAATTGGGCCAGACCTGCCCATAGGCATTCTCTGTGGTTTGCGAGTTTGAAAAGGCTGGCCACCTACTGTCTTTCTTTAGTACGTAGTTGGATGGCCCAGTGCTCCGATTTTATGCTTATTAGTGGTATTTTCATGAGTTTCCAGAGCTAAAGTGACTTTTTTACACTGTTTAATGATTTTTCAGTTTAACTCTCTTTCTGAGTAGGATGTTGTAAAGATTAATTAGCTGACATTCATAAAGTGCTTTCAAGCTGAAAAGTGCTGCACAAGGGTGCACAGATTCATTAGCTTCGTAGTCATTAAGGCTTTTTAGACCTTTTAGCATTCAGAAACTAGATGGTGAAGAATATATATGATACGGAAAGGAGGAACTTTAGAAAGAGCAGAATATAGTAACTTATCTTTGTTCCTTGAAAGAAAAAGACATTTGTTACCTTGCTTTGAGATTGAAAAAATACAAAAATGTTTTGTTTTTCAATTTCCACATGTTTCAGTTTTTTCTTACTTCCTCTTTTCAAAAATGTATTTGCTTGCTTCTCCTACATAGTTATTTAGGTACACTATGGTTATATTGTTTTATATATATTTATATATGCTATATGTTATATATATATGGTTACATGGATGTCTATAGTGTGATTGAGTCTGGCCCCAGAGATTAGGCTGACCAGTCATAATCTTATGAATATAATTAAATTCAGTATTAAACTTGAGATAGTAATAATGTGTGTTGCATTGTTAACTCATTGTCTGACATTAGACCACAGGCAGATCTTGTTCAAATGAGCTGATATACACATCCAATACAATAAGTGGGATGTTGGTTTTATCATTGGCTTTTGTTTGGATGCTGCTGTAGAGAAGCATTAAACTGTAAATTAGGGTACACAAAATAAGGTAGCGTGCACCTTTTTTGCTATTCAAAATGCCATATTAAATGCTTCATAATTGGCTTACATTAGCAGAGATTTTGTTGTTTCTGTCATCTCCACTGAATAATAAGAATCAGAGCTACATGGTGATGCAAGGGGTTTTCTATAGCTACATAAGAAAATTTCATAAAAGTGGCATTTGTCAGACATTTAAAATGGAGGAGGATTGAAGAGTTGATTTTGCTGAGGTTGTGACGAGTTAATAGCATTCATCTGTCAGGGCTGAATTAAGGGGTGCTTTTCCAGACACAGTGGGGGTATATCAAAGGACTAATCATATCAATCTGACTTTCATGCTTTCTTGATAGTACATTGTACTAATTATGAAGTATAGCTTTCCTATTTGGAAGAAGTATTTAGAAATTCATAATTTTTAGACTAAATACTAGGTTTAACAGAAACAAGCTTGGATAAAGATAAGATTTGCTATTGACTGACAGTGTGCTTTGGGCTGTTTGCAGTCTTTCAGGAACATTGAGTTGCACCCACTGGCCCTAATTCTGTGCCCCTCTGGCTGTATATGTGGCACAGCTGGTTCTCAGCCCCTCACTCACTCTGTACCCTGCAGCTGGAGCCGCCACAGGGCTCTCACCCATGGGCTCTGCTTTGCTCTGGCCCTTATCTACAATCATTTCTATGTCTCTGTAACATTGTGCCCCACATTTAATACCCGCTCAGACACCCTTCCTGCCTTTTGCTATTTCCCTACCCTCTACCACCAAGAATGTAAATTGGCCTTAAACTCCCGTCTGGAAGCCAGGGCCCTGCTACCCGCTGATAGACTTTCCCAAAGCTAGTTGCTGCTGCTGCCTTTTTTTTTTTTTTTTTTTTAAGAGCTCTCTTCTTTAATGCTGCTCCCATTGTTTCTCTCTGTTCCATAAAAATGAAGCCATAGCTTCAAGCCTCCATGGGGGTCTGAAAAACCTTTGAGAAGCCATAGATCAGAATTGAGCATGCCCAAGTAGCCAAAGCAGGATTTTTTAAAAAAGATTTTTTTTAAATTTATTTGCAAGTCGGAATTACAGAGAAGGAGAGGCAGAGAAAGAGCTCTTCCATCCACTTGTTCATTCCCCAAATGGCCACAACAGCCAGGAGTCAGGAGCTTCTTCCAGGTCTCCCACATGGATGCAGGGACCCAGGCACTTAGGCCATCTTCCACTGCTTTCCCAGGTGCATTTGCAGGGCTGGATTGGAAGTGGGGAAGCTGGGACTTGACCTGGTGCCCAAGTGGGATGCCAGTGCTGTGGGCAGTGTCCTTACCTACCGTGCCACAGTGCTGGCCCCCAAAGCATGATTTTAATAGAAAAAAATGGTAGGGGATGCAATTTGCCCTTCATCTTTTGTCTACTTCAAGTCCTTGGCCAAGTCACCTTCCACTTGTGGTGATTCTGTTCTGGGTGTCCCTGGAGTATTTCACATGTGCTTCTGACTGAGTCTATGGTCTTCTATGTTCAGCCCTCACCCATGGTGAACTCCAAGCTGCCCTCTGCTGCACATGGTCTGATCTGCTCTGTGTTGCCACAGCTCTACCCCTCTCAGCAGGGCACCATAGCCTGAGCGAGAAGCAGAGGCAGAGAGATTGATATAAAAGGTGCCCTTTCCCTATGCTTTAGAGACATTCCAAAGCAATGCCACTTGTTTATTCCAAGTTGTGAAGACTTTGGGGGAAATAACTTGTTTTCTTTTTGCCTTCTCTCTCTCACGAATCAGATTCTGGAGATGAAGTTGAGTAAAAGTTCTAGGCAGTCCTGCAAATTCCTAGACCCAGACTTGCAGTGATGGGAGATTCTTTATTGGGGTCAGGCTCATCGCAGCTGTGTGTTTCTTCCCTTAAGAAATCTCTCTCACAAGTTCCCCAGGCTTTCCTCCAATAGGTTTCTGTAGAGCCATCCTATCACTTTGCATTCATGTCCAGTTATGTAAGCATCAGTGGTGGACATGACTAGAGATCTGCAAAAGTAACGAAGCCCTCTGGCCCCCAAGTTCCTGCTGAGCCCATCCCAACAGGCATGCTTACATCTGGTTCCAACAGATCTACAGTCAAGCTAAGCCCCCTGCTACAGATACACATGTGCAAGGAAATGAACTTATATTCTGCCTTCCTCCAAATGTGAGCAGGGACACGAGCCTTAAGTTCCAGATATTTCAATTTATTCACTTCTTCATTCTTTTATCAAGGAAGGAATACTAAATGCTTTAAATAGAGTTCCTCCTAACATAGGTCTCATAATCGTAAAGTGATTTCACTTTATGTCTTCATAGACATGAATTGCCTAGTTAAAGCTTGATTTACCCTGTATTATAGTTAACTCTGAAAAATATCTCCTGCTGAAGTTAAGATACTTGTATTCACAAGCCTGTACTCGGTGTGTATGGTGCAAAAGAAAACATCGTGGCCAGGCCTATGTAGGAAATGCTGAGTCTAGTTCAGTAGTAGATGGATCAGTGGTCATGTGTTTTGATGCTCTTAATGCTCTCCTCGCCCCAGGTGATGCAGATGTATCTCCCGTTCTGTGGGATCGCCATATCCAATGCACAGCTGTTTGCTGCCTCAAGGAAAGAATATGAAAGAAGCAGGGTGAGTAGAAAGAAGCATTTCTGACAGTCCTCAAAGCACTCTGTGTTTCTGTTTTCTGTGACTCACTACATCTTTTAAAAACAACAGATGATCTTTGAATAGTCCAGGAATCTTTTATCTGTATACTCCTGCAGGGCTGTGGTTGTGGAGACACAAAAAGCAATAAGCCCAAATGGAAGTGGACACCAATTCTTTATTGTTGTTTGGGTAAAATAGTGCTACCTTCTTTTAAAAAGGAAATGAATTTCACTTTCTATACTATATAGCAGCATATGAATTCTGGCTGTCTTGTAACTTTGAAGTGATAACAAAATTTGGTGGTGCTATTATAATTTAGTTCTGTTAAGAATCAAGATATGTTACAAATGTGATTTTACTCCAGACAGAAACAAAAGGGCATTACAAGATATTTGGGACAATAATGTAGCATTATAAAGAAACAGACATAGAGGGATCATCCCCATATACCTTCATGAGTTATTAGAACTGAATAGGAAAAATGCAAAAACCAAATATCAAAAATGCTAATTTATCAAATAGAGATTAAATTATCTTAGAGTCATTCTACTTTTAAATATAGGAAGATTAGTGTCCAACTTAGAAATATATTGAACAGGAAGATGTTCAAAAATTTTTGAAATCTGTTCATCTGCAGCTAGGCCAGGTCCAGGCCAAAGTCAGGCGCCAAGAACACAACTTGGATCTCCCACCTGGTGACAGAAACCATGTACCTGAACCTTCACCTGCTGCCCTCCCAGAGTTTGCAGTAGCAGGAAGCTGGATTAGAAGCAGAAGAGCCAAGATTCAATCCCAGGCACTCCCATACAGAATGCAGTATCCCAAGCAGCGACTTAACCTTTGTCCCAAATGCTGCGCTCTTACATGAACTTTTGTCCTATGTGTTTTATGCCCTATATTGATATACTTTGCCCTGATGAAAAAGTTCACTTAGTTACTACTAAGTGAAATAATTTTAATTTTAGGGATAAACTTTCCCCAAATTTGAACAACTGTGATACTATTCTCGAATGTTAATTTCTATCCACAATAAGAAGGGAATGAGAAAATAGCAACAAAAGTAGAAAGACTTTGGTTACCAAATGTTTATGACCTTAATAAACAAATATGAACTCCTACAGAGTGACAGTAGGATTCAGAAAAAAAAAAGAAATCCTGTTATTCTGGCAATCAAATTGATTAAAAATTTCATTTTCTGGATATTATCATTTATTAATAAGCAGATGAACACAGTTGACTAGTCCAACCGTACTCCTCAGCATGGCATCCTTTGCTTTGTCTCTGACCTGGGCTGGCTTTTTATCTTTAGCCTCATGTTCTACCAGTCCCCTCTTTCCATCTGGCATTCAGCAACAAAATCCCCAGTGGCCAGAAAATAACCTGTTTGTTTCACTTTATCCCCCTCTGCCTTCAGTGCCGCATGGCTGCTATTCCCCCCTCACTGGCATCTGCTTTGCACTCCTTTAAGGACTCGTTCAGCCTTCCAGTTAACCTTCCCTTCTAATTGTTCCTCTTTGTAGGTACTGCCATTTTTCTGTTGTGGGTTGCAGTCACACTGTACAATAAAATTAAATATGTCCCTCCTTTCCAACGACATTATGAGCTCCTTAAGGGAAGGCTCATGTATTATAAATCCATGGCACAATTTATTTACACATTCAGCAAATATTTATCATGCAGTTTTCATTAGTGGCCATCCAAACAAAGTCCCTGCCTTCATAGAACTTAATATTCTAGTGGCAACAATAGGTGATATACACAAAAAAAATTAAAGATTTATTTTATGTAATTGAAAGGCAGAATTACATACATACAAACATACAGAGAGAGAGAGAGAGAGATCTTCCATCTTCTGGTTCACTTCCCAAATGGCTCCAAATAGCCAAGCCTGGGCCAGACTGAAGCCAGGAGGTTCTTCTGGGTCTCCCACTAGAGTGTTGGGGTGCAACCACTGGAGCCATCTTCTGCTGCTTTCTCAGGCACATTAACAGAGAGCTGGATCAGAAGTGGAGCAGCCAGAACTTGAACCGGCGCCCTAATCTGATGTTGGCTTTGCAGGCAGTGGCTTAACCCACTTATGACACAGCACCAGCCCCCAGGAAACAATTTTAAAGTAATGTAATATCAGGCAAGGTTAAATGCTGAAATGTAAACTTAAATAAAATGAAGGGATAGAGTTTAGCCACAGAAGGATGAATTGTGAGAGTGTTTTAATTTAGGGAGTGATGAAGAAGGTCTCTCTAAAGAGATGGTCTCTGAGCACAGACTTGAGCCAAATGAAGAAGTTTGGCTCCATGCAAAGTTCTGGGGAGAACACTATAGGCAATGGAAATGTCAAGTGCAAAGGCCCTGGGGCAGGAGTAAGGTTGGCCAGTATTACTAGAGAGCAGAGAGAAAGAAAGAAACGAAAATGAGGATGGGGAGATGAGCTCCCTGGTCAGAGGGTAGAAAGGCCTCTGGGCAAAGACTTTGGCTTTTATTCTGTATGCAATGGAAGCCAGTAGAGGACTCTGAGCTAAGTCTAATTTGCTTTTAAAAGTGATCACTCTGGCTTTCCCTGGAGACAGTAAACTGGCTGGAGCCCCTGAGAGAAGACTGACAGCACAGGTTAAGAGAGAACTGTTTTGAAGTGAAACACTAATGTGACTCAGACTGGGGCCGTAGAAAGTAAAAGTGTCCCCACAAAATTAACGGTGAAATCTACAGAACTTGCTGCGTGAAAACGACTTTGGACTTGGCTGCTGGGGGCAGGAGTCCAGTGGTTTGGGATGATGTCAGGACTGGGGGTTGAAATCTGAGAAGCATCAACACACAGCATTTAAAGAGAGGGGACTAGCAGCGTTCATCTGGGGATGAATGTGTAGGTAAGAGAGGAGAGGAGGTCTCAGGATGAGCCCAACAGCCAAAGAAGCCTTCTGGAAGGAGGAGAAGGAAAGGGAGACACTTGTTTCCGGAAGGCACGTGACAGCAAGGTGCAGGGAGCATTCAGCTGTGTGAAATGCTTCCTGTGTCTGTGGCACTGTGAATCATGCTTCTCCTTTTCTCCTAGTCTGGAGCCAGTCTGCTTTGTTATTCGTACAGCTTTCATCACTTGTTAACAAAGCAGCAATTTTGAATTAGAAACAATAAAATTACTATAATGTGATTTGCCAGTGCAAGACCCAAGGCATAATTAGTTTTTCCTCTGAGATCAATGTTCTTAGATATAGGTCCCAGATGCTCTCTCCATGCTGTCACTACAGATTGAAAAGTTAAATAATTGTTCAGTTAATATTTTCCATCTGAAGAAACAGGCCGGGTGATGCAAGAAATGTTTTCTTTATTAATAACCGGAAATTTTGCTCTTAAATTCATTCAGACCGTTGCCTCATTTTTTATGTTACATTTGAACCTGAAGTTATTCTACATTGACCTCTTCCAGCAATTTTATGTCCAAGTGCCACAGTCAGAATTCACTTAAAACAAAAAAGAATTCACTTAAAAATTTTTTTTAACTTACTGGTGTTTCTCATTGCTTTGGGAATATAGAGTCCTTATAACTGTGCTAATATTTCTCTGGAGATGTCACTACCCAGGATCTTTGGTCCCCTTTATTGCTGAGTAAACTGGCTTCATTGCATGGATCCCCTCACTCATTCAGATGCTTTTCTACCCAAACAGAGTTAGAGAAGAAATTTTCACATGTTTCAAATGGTTTCGGAACAAATCAAATTCATTAGTGAAGTTGAAAATTAGTCATGCCCCCTGGGAAGACGAGCACCACCAAAATGAATAGATGTGAGTTTGAAAATCCATGAAATCCTTTTGTGAGAGGTCAGACTTGAAATTGCACATCTTATTAAATTCTATTGAATAAAGCACCCTCTGGCCCATTCATTGGCTGTGAAATTTTCTGATTGCTCTTTGATAGAGGCATAATATCTACCACCTGCACATAGCCCACTCTTCTTAAATCTCTGGAAATACCCACGCCAGTAAAAATTCCAAACAATATTATTTCAATGAAAAAATTGCAACCTAACTTAGCTAGAGATGACAGGTCATTATAACTTAATTTTTAGATCAGTTTTCAAGCTGGAATTTAAAGTTTTTTCTTCATTTTGTGTGCTTTTCATCCTATGGGTTTAAAAAAAAATTTGAAAGGCAGAACAAGAGAGAGAGAGATTGTCCATATGGTAGTTCCCATCCAAATGGCTACAACACCCTGGTCTGCGCAAGGCTGAAGCCAGGAGCAAGGAACTCCATCCTGGTCTCTTACGTGGATGGCAGAGGCCCAGGTACATGGGCCATCTTCTGTTGTCTTCCTAGCTGCAGTATCAGGAAACTGGATTGGAAGCAGAGCAGCCAGGACTCGACTCGGCACTCTGATATGGGATGCTGGCATCTCAGGCCGCAGCTTGACCTGCACCACAATGCTGGCCTCTCGTCCTGCAATTTTAACAGAATGTTTTTATGGTGTTTTCTTTCCTGAGATATATAGTAGTATCCAAATGTTCTTTTGGATAATTTGGAATAAGGCAGTATTTCCTCTTCTTGTGTGCAGGGATTAGTGGAGTTGCATATTTTTTTGAAGGCTCTGAACCTTAATTACATTTACATTATAATGCTTTCAGAATTCTGTGAGAGATATGAATTAGTGAAAATAAGTACCAGATTTGAGGAAGCAGATATTTCTTCTTGAAAGTGAGGAAGAGCTTTGGAATTCTCTGAAGTAAATGGACCTTGTAAAAAAAATTAAGTATTTATTTTCTATAAAATATTAAATTTATACTTGGTCACATTGCTGAAAATCTACCATGGGAGAGAGAAAGTTTATTGCTTAGAACTCTGTGTTCCCTCTTCTATTGGCTGGTTCTATTCTCAGGTTGTGTTTCACACTTAAAGAGTGTGCTATAAAAATAAATGCTGAAACTATGTTAAAACAATCATACAAGCTTTAAAAATTTAGCCATACAAAAGATATTTATCTGATGAGGGCAAAGATTTGAATGGAGTTTTATGCGGAAAACAAAACATCAACTTTTCCCCCAGCCCTGTGTCCACCTAAATGCATCCATTCCATCCTCCCTAGGCTTTGCTGGAGGTGGTCAATGACCTCTTTGAAGAACAGACTGACCTGGAGAAGATTGTCAAGAAAATAATGCATCGGGCCCAGACTCTGCTGAAATGTGAGCGCTGTTCTGTTTTACTCCTGGAGGACATCGACTCACCCGTAAGTCCTCCTTTACTTTGCGTATTGAGTTGGAGACTGTGTGCGCAGAAGCAAGTTGAGTGTATTTGTAATTGAACTTGTGAAATCACGACCGGAACCACTCTCCTCCTGATTCTTCTATCCACGAGGTGACTTTTTATCAGAGGAGAGCTTTTGTTTCTGTCTTTTTGTTTTTTCCTGTGCCTGCATTTTCATCTTGTTTTGCTGTCACTGGAGAAACAGACTCTCAAGCTGATGAGGACCTTGGAACTGTACCCCAGCCCTAGGTACTTACAGAGGAAGGAACAAAATGGACTAAGGGTGATTTGCCCACTCTTCACGCTGCTCAGTGAGAAGACAAACTCCAGCATCAGGCTCCCAATTTATTTCCCCATAGATGGAAGGCCCCTGGTGTTTCTGGGAGTGGATTGCACTGCAGACAACACTCCACAGTCCTCTTCAGAAGAGGAGAAGGCAAACAAGTGGCTGGAGAAACGTTAGCTCTTGGAACCTAGACAAATTGTACTTGAGCTGAGTGGGGTGACCAGCCTTAGCCAGGCTGTTCTTTGCAGCAGGCTTGCCCTGCTGGAAACCACTCCCAGGTTCCTTCACTGTGCCTTTGGACCGATGGCTGTGACACAGACCAGCCTACTGTGGCGAGAGGCCCCTTTCTGCTTCACCACAGGGGCTCCTGGGACTCCCCAGGGAAACATCAGCCACAGGGTTGCAGGCCTCTGCCTGGTGCTGATCTATGGCTGACTTGCAGGTTTTGTTCCGCCCTTTGGCTCTGTGGGGGATATCAGCTGGGTACATACACAGCAACATTGAAAATAATCACCATCATCCATCTAAGTTCTTGCAAGTTGAAAGTCTAGACCCTCAGCAGCAATAATACCCTGGCTGAAAACTCTCCTCGAAACACCAGTTGTCCTCTAGCAATGAAGAGCTGTCCTGCTACCTCAGAGGATGATATTTTACCAGACTCTACTCAGGGAAGATGATTTCCTTTTTCTTTAGGTTTATTTCCTTCACAGAATAGAACCTTAGGGGAAATTTTAGAGATTTAATAAGTGTTGTAAAAATGACAACTTTTTTAAAAAAAAATCTATGATTAAAACCTGTTGGAGTATTTCCCCAGATTTTAACAGAGCTTGAGGTTATTCCTATTTCAGTGGGTGTGATTTACACAACTAGACTTGTGAGTATTCGATTGTGTAAGACTCACTGAACCATGCACATGCTGCATTGCATGCCTGCATGTGCACACACACACACACACACACACACCCCAACTGCCCATACTTGGGAGTGCTTCCAGATACCCTGTGAAACACCTGAGTGCCTTTGGGGCTCACCTATTTAGCAGGTAGTGGTCCTCCGAATCTGACACACCAGGGAGCAGCTCTCAGATAATTGAGGGGCTCCCCAGAGCCACCCCCACTGCCATCTCTGAAGGCTCTGGAAGGAATGGGAAGGGTGGGGGTGCTCGCTGTTGCCTGGCAGGTTTCATGGGCACAGAGAAACCCTCACTGTGCAAAGGCTTCGACTGCTACCACCAGGTCCCTGGGGAGCAAGTCAAGCCAGGCTAGAATGTGGACAAGGACAATCTATTTGTTTGCCAGCTCAGTTGTAAACAGACGGGAGAGTTATTTAAATCAGCGAAAGTTGGTCATTCCTGCTCATCTTCTAGTGCGAACTATTTTTTTTAGTGTGGTCTAGCTCTTTGGCAAATCAAGTGTAAAAGTACAGATGATTAAAACTGATCCTGTAGGTGGGGGCAGAGCTGGAGGGGATAGCAGGGACAGCAATATCTCCATGGTATGAGGTAGAGAAAGTGATCAAAAAAGCACCATCCAGAAAGAGCAGATGGCACGAGCAGTGAGGGTTTGGGCTGAAAGGTGTATGCTGAAACTGAAAGGGCCGCTTTTGTTCTCAGTGCTGAATATTTTAAGAATAATGATGGGAACAGAGCAGGAAATGCTGTTCCAGTCCTCGTCATTTCTTCTCTCCTCCCACTTCCTTCATCTCAACGTGAGGACGAACTCCTCTAAGCTGGAGGGGCAAGGTCTGGAGGTCAAAGTGATCCATGTGAAAACGAACAGGACATCAGTGTGCCTGCGATTATTTCAGAACCTGTGATGATTTTCTGGTGAAGGCGATTGCCCGGGTCAGAAGCAGGGGAATTTGGGGGTGAGGGACGTTTACTTGTGTGGCATCCCCATACAAGAAACCCACGAGGCTCTGCTTTCCTTTAACACACTTTTCACAGAGCTTCTCACCCTTTCAGACCTGTAAGTGCCTCTGTTCTGTGAACCACCCAAATTGTCACATAGAAATTATCAGAAGGACACCAGGCACAGTCACACCATGAAACAGAGAAGTTGCCAGGCTGAAGAAGAAACTAGACTCCAAAATCGGGTGCTTGCTTGGTGGTTTGAACAGAAAACTGTGCAGAGATCTTGTTCTTTGGCGAGTACTTCCTCCTTCCCCATCTCAAAATGCTGTGTGGATGAGATAACATTAAAAGCTTGGTCAAATGGATTGAATGAGGGCTGTGAGTGGTTATCAGAGAAGGACCTAAGCAACACCTGTAAATGTGATTTGGTTTGGAAAAATTTAAATTTTTGGATTTGAGGGAGGAGGAAGGGGGATGGAGAAAGAGAAGGAGAGAGAGGGAGAGAAAGAGAGAGATCTTCTACCTGTTGGGTCACTTCTCCAAGGCCTGCAATGGATGGCTGGGGCTAGGCCAGGGCTAATAACTCAGTCCAGGTGTCCCTTGTGAGTGGCAAGAACCCAATTGCTTGAGCCATCACTGCTGGCTCCAGGGTCCACGTTAGCAGGAATCTGACGTCAAGAGCCAGAGCTCAGAGTTGAACCCAGGCACTCTGATGTGGGACATGAGCATCTTAACCAGAGTCCGCTAGGCCAGATGCCAGCCCACATGATCTCATTTGACTCACAAACAGTAAACTTAGAAAGACTTTTATCTATTCAGAGAAGAGAAAGCAAAAATGGGAATTCACACAATTGGCAAATTTCTAAAAGTTCACATAGAAAAGAAACACGTATAAAAAGCCTAAAAATTTGTTCAAAAACAACCAACAAAGATGAAGAAATGGGTGGAATTTTCCCTGTTGAAACTGTTAAAATGTATTTAAAACTAGAGGTGAATTATTTGGAAATAAGCAGCTGAACAGAATAGATTCATGGATCCTCATATATGTGAGAATAGAGGAAAGGCCATTCTCCTACTTGGAGGTTTAGGAAATTGTTTCAGGGTGAGAGATGTATTAGATTTTCAGATTTGACAAAGTTAATTTGTCGGCCCCTATTGACAAAATGATTTTAATAAAAGAATTTCAACAATGAAGATAGTCCTGTAGTTATAAAGAAATACATATTAAGACCTTAACAACACCAATAAATCCAGTATTCAAATTTTTCTCTTAATTATATCTTCCCGTTATTACTTAGGACCTTTCTTTCCTTGTTATGTCATGAAATACCAGAAGCAGGATGCTTCATTGACCTTGTCCATCATGTTGGGTGCCCCTAGTGTTTATGATAACTGCAAACAGATTTGTCCTATGTAGTGTACTGTTTCCAGGTTCAGGTGTTTTATAGCCAGCAGTTGTCTATGTAACAAAAAGAAAGCTGGGGGGGGGGGGGGCGGGTGGAAGGGGATGGATTCCTATCAAGGTGTCAAGGGAAGTTATGCTCTCTACTCCTCTCCCCTTCCTAACTCTCCAGACAGCGTGGTATGTGGTTTGAAGGGAGGAATTACACAGAAGATAGAAACAAACAGCTACATTCTGGGCTTTCACATTTCTAAATAGGCTTATAAAATGTATGGGAATGTTATTATTCTCAAAAACCAAAACTCTCATTTTTAAGAGCCAAGCTTTCCTTAAGATTTGAAAGTATCAGATCCTAAAGTTGTGAACAGAGCAATAGATAGGGAGAGAATAGGTAAAGTCCTACAATATCCCAACCTTGGGCTGTTCAGACCAAAAGAAGAGTCAGAGAGAAGAAAAGTGGTGTGCCCAGTCCTCCTCACCTTGCCCTAGAACTCAGGTACCCCCTGCAGTAGTGGTAGTGGCAGTGGTAAGGGGAGAGTCTTTGCCAATTCCTCCAGACACCATGAAGGGGAAAAAGACGAGAGGTGTCAATGCCAGGGGAGCCAGGGGTCAGTGAGAGCCTTTGTTCCCCCTCTAAAACCCTGAGAAGCATAAGAAGCAAATATGGTTCCCCCATTTCTTGACATGAGTTGTCAGAGGGTGCACTGGGACCTGAAGAAGCTGACATCAGGATGAGGGAGGCACAGGGATGTGTCCCAGACCTGGAAGGGCTATGGCTGTGTAAGCGTGTCCCATGGTAGGGGTAGCTTTGCTGAGACCCCCACAGGGCCAGCTTTCCTTTCAGCAGGGCAACTCTGGAAGAGAAGATGATGATCAAGCATCTGGTTTTCTCCGAAATACCCGGAACGTTGCATGTCTTCTAGTGACAATTTTAGTATCGAATGAGTGTGAATCTGAAATGACCAAAAACCTGCAGTGTCTGACTTTGACTAGTCTTTCTTGTCTTCTGTCAGAATTGGAGCTCCAGAAGTGACTTAGTTATGTTATGGAAAAATAATGTTACTTTTTTGTATGGCTATATCTGTAGCCTGTGAAATGTATAATCAATACACAAATTGCCATCTCTAGTCAGTCATTTTGTATTCAGTTCTTATGTAAGACAAAGGAAACATTTGAAATTAGATGGATTGGGAAGAATGCTTTGGAAACATTGGCTGCGATTTATAAAAATCCTCTGTCTTACCTATTAAAATATAATTTTATAAGGGGAAAATTGTGACTGTCATACAAAAATACAGTAAATGTTGGTAAAAGCTTGTGTTTTAGGTTGGGTGGCCCTGTTGCACAGCTGCTCAGGGGTGGTCTTGCCAGCTTTCAGGCTGTGGCTCCTCCAAGGAGGTAGTAGTGGCCCAAACCACCCAGAATGAATTGGAGCAGCAGTCA